GCTTTTGAGCTCGAACTCATTCTTTTGAAAACAATTCAAGAACTTGTAATCTTAAACAAAAATTATTTTAACATCAAGGTTTGGCTTTCTGTCCCCAGCCAGTTCTGCACAGAGCGGTGTCATGGAGGGCCAGCCAACGTTGTTGACTGTGTTTATTATTCATTTGTGTGTATATATATATATATTATGTGTGTATATATATGTATATATATACATATATATATATGTATATGCATGTATATGTATATGCATATATACATATATATATATGTATATACACACATATATACAGAGATGCAGGTAGTTTTTGAACAAAGCTTCCAGTGGCACAACTGAATGTATATTGAAGGTAACTACTTACCCTCACCCCCCTAGTTCAGTAATTATTTATACAGATGTAGTTGGCACATAATGGGATTGACCGCAGTGTCCCAGGATCTATGTGCTGGGAGTGGCCAACATGCCTGAAACTGTTGTATCTTTACAGGACATTGCCAATAAAGATATATCTTACTGACCGTTTTAAGCCATTTATTTTCTCAGCCGTTGTTTTACCTGGTTTATATCAGTAGTGGCCCCTTGTCCGTGGCTCTATGGTTTGCAGGCATCAAAGATGTGTAGTGGTATCATGGGCTTCTTGGTCTCTCATCAGTTTCTTTCTCCTCTTGCCTTGTACTGTACTCGCAGCCTCAGCAGCAGGAGATTGGGTGCAGGATGGACTTGGGAGAGGCAGGTGAAAGCATGGGGCTTTATCAAGCATAGGATTAATTTTACGAAGTTAATCAAAACAATGAAATGAAATTCCAGAAATGCTTTGCAGGAGCATCCCAATCTGAATGGGTTCCTCTTCTTCACCTGCCTCTGTAGTTTTCTTTACAATGTAATATTAACACTTCCAGAACATTGAAACCCTCATTTTATGTCCTGAAGGTTGGTTTTGTTTCTTGTTTTATATTTAAGATACAAAATGATCCTCAGTGATTTTAGGATTTATTTTACGGTAGCAACTATATATATCAACTTTTTTGAGAGATTGCTTTGAGGAAAGACTGGCAGCTGCAGTTCAGCAGCATAATGTGCAAGTATAAATAGAATGCAGGCTGTCCATTTATCTCAGCCCCGATTGACTTATATTCATCTGATGCCGAGGCTTGTTACAATCATGGTTTGTGTCTGAGCAGACACGTTCACTTAGGATTAAGCTTGGAAAACTAATCTAATAAACCCATGTAACTTAATTAAAGCTTTCCCTATAGATTTCTTGTGAAACCAAGTAATTCTTTTACCTCTTAACCTTTAATAAGTTAATGTCAAAATATTGGGAAAGTTTATCACTACCTGTGGTTTGGGGAGATGCTGAGTTTAAAATAGCTTTCACGTTTGCTTGGATATATTTTGATTAATACCTATTTCTGAGTTTTCTTTCCAGTTCAGCTTCTACTTTTCTGTCATGGTATTTTATTAAATGTGATTTCACTTCACAGATTCTCTAGATTACATTACAGAAGCCCTATCTAAGCTTTCTCATAGAGAGAGTATTCTGGTAGACAAGTCTAAAAGTGAAATATAAGAAAACTATTGAAACAGGTATAAAAACAGGTATATCTAACAGGTATAAAAATAGAATAGGCAAAAGATGTACCTGAACTTGATATTAATCTCATCCCCATCGAAAAAGGAAGAGTCATTTCTTGTATTTCAATCTCCTTGGCATTGTGGAGTAATGACTTACTTCTCAGGTTTTCAGGCAAGTTTTCTCTCAACATCTTCCCTTTACAAGAGCCCTGTAGAATTTATAGATGTAAAAATATCAAGTTCTGTCTCTTTGAAGTCTCAGCTACCATTTCTTACTTGCTTAAAATCAGCCTCTGGCTGACACTTCACTATTTTATCATAGTGGCTAGCCTCTGGCATGGATTAATTTTTATAAACTTGTTTTTAATTTAAAAAATCAACACAAGCAAAATACTTGCCATAATTTAACATTTAAGTATGGCTATGAGAAAGCTCAGAACTGAGCATCATAACAATCAGTATTCCCTTGTTACAGTGTAAGGGTGTTCAACTGTATAAAGCAGGTTACATTTCAGATTAGAAGTAATTTCTGTGTTATCTTTTTAATGTGCCCAAAGCAATCATTTTGTTCAATAATGTAGCATGAGTCCAATTTAGATTTTTGTTCGTACTACCGTTTTCAACAAGACAAGTATCATTTGTGTGCAGGGACAACTAATGGAGCATGTTTAAGCAGAAAAACCTGAACAGCAGATCTCTTTTGTGATGTGCTTTTCTTCCCCCTCATTTAATTTCCACTATTATTGCAAATGCACTGATACTGAGAGATAAGCATGGTGCTTGCTCCTTTTTTAAAGGACTCTGAGAGCTAGCTTGTATGTGCCCTTGTATTTGGTTTTTAGAAACTTTTCCAAGAAACAGTGATTTCAGACCTTCATGTGTACATATGTTAGATGCAAATTCCCCATGTAAGTTTTACAGTCTTTGTGTTCTTCGTGCAAGATCTCTCTTGCAGTCCTCTGCGTTATTATCTTATCCCATGATTGCAGTGGGATGTGATGGCACTGCTGATTGCGAAGTTTCTCTGCAGAACCTGCTTCCTGCAGCGACACAAGGGACAAAGGACAGGACAAATTATAGATAGAGATCTCATAGATGGACTCCTGCACAGTGTATGCACGGTGGGATCTTGAAGTACCAGGTGTAGGTGGCACCATGGTTTCTAGCTCACTTTTTCCCTGAAAAATGAGATTTAAACTTAAGGAGAAATGGCAACACTGGTGGCAGTGGCTTATCAGCAGGCCTGAAGATTAACTTGTGTTAAGGAGCAGAAGAAACACAGGAACATAAATTTGTGTCCTAATGCGGTGTTGATTCTGCTCCCAGAGCCTCCTGCACTGTACTGCTAGGAGGGATACTTGGCCCTCTAACATGACCATTTCAGAGCTTGGCACTTCATGCCAGGATGTAAGGAAGGGTCTGTAAATACTTGTTGGGATCCGGGGGAAAATCACATTAGGGCATTTGAGATGTTCCCTGAAGATAAGGCTCCTGTACAAACAAAAAGATGAAAGGAACAACAAGAATCTGGCAGTGATCAAAGTGATGGCAGCTTAAATTAATGATCCCCAGGAAAACTTGAGGTTAATTTATTAACAAAAATATTGTGACAGTTCCCAGGAAGAACTGGAGAGAGTATACATACAGATGTAATTCAGTGTGGCTGCTTCTACTGCCAATGTGCAGCACTGCACCTGCAACCAGAAACAGACGTGGAGATGGAGCTTGGGAAAAACGAGAGCTGTTTCTTTGCCAGGATCCTGTTGACTCCATCAAGCTGTCTGTGGTCATTTAAAGATGTTCACAGAGGTGTCGCCCATTGAATGCTACTGGTTACGTGACGTGAAAGAAGAGAGAGGTGCAGTCACGTAGTACTCAAAGAATCTTACCGTCTTGAAACTGCTAAGTAGGTTGCTGATGCTGTACAGAGCAGAGAAGAAACCCTTCTAATATGAGCTTTTGTTACAGCAATGCCAACGGCAAGGGAAAATATTCTGATTATTTTCCTGGAGATAGAGGCTGTGGCTGTTTGGAAAACGCTGCATTACACCATCTGTTTCCTCCTGATTGTGCGCCGCCGCAGCCATTGTTGTGATTAATTTCGTTGCTTCTAGGCACAAATTTGAGTGCTTGAAAGAAGATTAAAAGCTTGTTTTACGGAGGGGGATGTAGCTAATGGGGAGCTTTCAGTTGGATTGTGTGTACTTAACAACTTTACAACTCAAGTCATCAATCTTCTGTGTGCTTTAGGTACACGAGGAAAGTGAGGATAGCGTCTTTTTGCTTCGCTGTAATAACCCTCTGCATGAATTGTTGGTGAGATGGCCACCACGTGCCACTGGCATCATGGCACACCACCAGGACAGTCACTTTTCTAGCTGGTGGCTCAGCTGCTGGAAGGTGATGCGCAGTCTCACCCACCTTCCAGTCAACATTTGGACCAATTCCTGCCATCCGGAGGCTGCTGTGTCCCTAAAAACCCAAAGGAGTAGCCTGCCTGGACAGAAGGACCGGCCACATCCACCACCTCCCCTCAGAGGCTCAGCAGCAAGGAGCACATTGTGGTGGTGTCTCTGTGGGGGTCATCGTTTCACTGCATCTGTCTCACTGTGCCCCCAAGCGAAGAGCAACCCCATAAAATGTGGGATTTTGCCTCATATTGGTGCCGCACCTATTTCAGTGCCATCCTCTTTTGCATGAACACTGAACGTGTAATGCAGTGGTGGTGTGCATCACGGCGGTTTTCCACCACTGGGATGTTCCCCTCCTTTCTTCCTTCCTTCCTTCCTTTTAATTCTCCTGTTACTTAAATAAGCTTGGCAGGCCTTTGATCTAGGATAAGTAGCACAGCTGCATTATGCAGTGGTCCATCTGCTTATTATAGTGAATTTGGAACACGAGTGACATTTGCATGAACGCATTAATTCTTATTTACTTGTCTACCTCTCTTGATCATCACATTTCAAGAATGACACATTTACCTATGATTTCATATCAAGAGTCAAGCATTTTATCCCCTGCTAGCCAGGTACATTCAGGCTAGTGTTTTATAAGTTAATTAATATTTACTTCCATGTGACTTAAGTAAAGGTTGCCTGTTTTAATTTGCTTTCAGAATAATGATAGTTGGGAACCTGATTTCAGAACACTTCTTCAGTTTGATGTGCATAATGGTATGGACGGGGTTGTGGTAGGTCTGGAGCCATACAGGACATAGTTAACCAGAATTGAGAGGAAAATATGACTGCCAAGTAAAGCAGTATTATCAATTTCCTCTCTCCTGCATTGAAAGAGACAGGGGGAACAGACAGTGTAGGGTTTCCTGATGTGTTTTCAGAAAGCCTGGGATTCATTTCCCCTCCCTTCCTTCCTATTAGTTGTTTGTTAACTCCCAGGAAGATTCAAGCTTTTCTTGTGAGACCTTTCTGCCTGCAGATTCCAGAGACAGGCTCGGCCTTTGAGGGGCTCACATCTCACAGAGTCACTCAGGTGGGAGATCTCTTAACATCACCCGGTCCAACCTTTAAGGCTCCCCTCTGAGCAAATTCGGGGAGAGGAAGAGGAGCTTGGTGATGAGAGTCTGACTCAGGGTAAATGAACAGAAGAGGAGTTTCTAATTAACAGCATCGTATTGCCAATGGTATTTGCTTTTAATTTGCTGGCATAAAACACAGTGGAGGCCACTGAGGGATACGGGACACTTCAGACACAGGACTAGGAAGTGCAGCAAGTCCCAGCATGAGATTTCTGCCCATCTGAGCACTGATTTGTGAACTTGCGAGCAAAACGTGGATTTCTGCAAAAGACTTTCAGCTGCCTTTCTTCACTAAAACCTCGTCTGTCTCTGTGCAACTACTGAACCTCCCCTCTCAGTAATGAGAAGGCTGTGAAGACCTCGGCAGTAGGGCCAGCTACTCGGGATGAGAAGTGGCTTTGGAGAGCTGCACACGGCTGGAGCGAGCTGACGGGCTGGATGCTCTGAGGGGGCTTTTCCTCAACGGAAACAGCTGCTGTTTGGGATGAAACATTGAAAAACAGACAGTTCTGTCCTCGCTTTGAAAGTTTCCTCTGGTAATCCAGCTGCTTATGTGAGCTGTGCCTCCTTTATTCACAGTAGTCGCACCAGGGACAAGAAAACAGTCTGTAAGCTGTAGCAAGGTGTCCTATCTATCTGCTGTGTGACGTGTGCCAGAAACTGAGAAGATCCTGCAGCTTTGTGAAAAAAAACATCTTGGCATTTTCTGTTCATTAAGTACAACTGATTCTTCAATTTTCGTTGTAGTAAAAACGGGTATGGGTTTCTGAGGAAAAGCACATATTATCCAAATAACTGAACTGCACCTACTTCCAGTTCTTTAAATCTGAGTCTTTTTTTTTTTTATCCTTTTTTTTGTTAGTGTTTGAATCTGACAAAGAACTCTCGTGTTCCACTGACATTTTAAAACAAAATCAGAGTGCCTCACATTGTGTCAGAAGAGCGTAATTCTGAAGAGGTGCTTTTTTTCTTCCTTTGGTGAATAACTCGGTGAAGACACAAGAAGACGCATCCATGTCACTACGCCGGTTTTTAAAGGATGGGCATGAAAGTCACTTTAGGATCCTACCAAGATTCGGCCAGCTCCTTCATGGTAGAAGGCAGTCACGAAATAACACACGCCAAATATGCTCTGGTGAGGTGGCTTTTACAAGTGATTGTATATTGTGATTTGCATATGCATAGAATGTTTGCACTAAAATTTAAGCATCATGTGAGGTGCCCATGAGCAGTAAGTAGCCTAGTGCTGGACTTGCTGATTTTCACAACTCTGATGGTTCTTGCAGGAACTATTTTGTTGTTGTTGTTGCTTTTTTCTCAAAGCATGCTCATGTAGGGATCCAACATTTGTTATTGTTAGGAAAATATAAATCTTTATCCATATTAGTTATTACTCATGGATAGTGATTAATCTCTGTCACCAGTACTTACAGGAGAAAAACATTATATGTGCATGCAGTTTTGTTGGTCCTTGCAGTTTCAGGTATGATAGTGCCTAACAAACACAGATTTGAAGGCTTTACACCAACTTCAATACACTATAAGAACTTCACTGAGTGCTCCACTCTTAAAAAAAAAAGTAACTACACCCCCAAAAATGTTTTAACTGTACTCAAAAGTTCAGGAAGCCTCTGATCTTTGAGTGATGTACTAAATGTGGGACTTACAACCATTTAGTGAATCCTGAAGTCTTGTTTCATACAGTATGTGCTATAATCATATATTAATATAAGCGAAAATTACATATTTGTGTTTAGTAAAGCTAAATATTTATTTTTTTCCCCTGATATAGGTTTGCCCTGACTGGCAGAGATAAGCTGAAGCAGATTTTTCAATAATTAATGGAACCTTTCTTGGTTTTATATTTTGTATGCACAGTGACCTATTACAGATTAAAAAAAAAAAAAGAGCTTTTCCTGCTTGTTTCTAAACTAAAATTTAGAGCATATGAAATTGAAGTAAAAATAAGCTTAGCAACCTCTATAGTAAGCATAAATTTGTCAAGGCTTTCAAATATTTCTTTCCCTCATGTTGACAACTATCCTTGAAAAAAAAAAAAAGGAAGTGAAAAATGCCTCTATGGTGGCTCTTTTTGCTCACACCTTCTTTTGTGCTGTGCTCACTGAGTTTTTGGTGACTTCTGAAATGCAGAGATTTCACCTTTCCTGCCTGGGCATTCTTAAGGCCAAGATTTTGTACCTTTACAAGTGTCAGCTTTTAAATCATCAAGTTTTAACAATTAATTCCATTCAGGTCAGACCAGAAAAAGGTTTTATGTTAATTGCTAGTAATCATAATATTGCTAGTAACAATTCTTCATGGGAAAAGTTCAGCCATATATTAAATACATGGGATGCAGTGTTACAAACCAGAGCAAAACAAGACCTCATCAAATTTTAGCCTTACCTCTATTTAGGATTCAACCATCACATGCTCATAATCTCACTGTAGTCAGATTCAAAATGTAGCAATAAACGTGGTCATTGCTGGCCACTTGAGAATGTTAATCCCAAGTATAGACAAAGCTTTAACTGCATGGGTTTAATATATTGAACATGTCCTAATGTTATAAAAAAAAAATCCTCATTTTAGCCTACTTTTTTCAGCCTCAGATCCCTAATGCAAACCTTGTAACGCTGTACAATCACCTCTTACTTAGAGGTTCCTTTCTCTATATATAGACGTGTGCAGTCAGAACACTGAACGTTTCTGTGGGAAGAAACACTCTTCTCTCCCACCCATCTGTATTATTATTCCAAAGCTCCTTTTGATTGTGCTGCAGTCTTCTTTTTGAAGTCTTCAAGTATGCAAAAACTCTGTTTCCTCTCCTTCCTGTTACCCATTTTATGTTGACAGTAGAAAAGCAATTAGATGGTTCTAATGTTAACTTTACATATACAGTAAGAATTAGTCCATTGTTTTGGTCAAAGCCATTTTATGGCCTTTTGCACTGATAAGAGTCTTCCTGCCTTCCTGGTGGCAGATTTTAATTAGCCTTCAGTGGCAGTTTCAGACCCAAAGGTACACCAAATGTAGATCAAGGTTTTAGACTGGAAGAGGAGGGGTCCTGCAGCCTGGCAGCAGTTCTATAGGTAGCTGTGCTGGGTGAAGTTAAAATTTTGGCAAGCATTTATTTCTGAAGTAAATGTACTCGTAAGTCTGTGAATCCCATGATACATGCTGCTCTTTTCTTGTGACAAAATTAAACTGCTCAGTCCTGTTGACCCGTGTCTCGCAGGGCTGTGTTCTCTTATTAGCATCTCTGGAAACTGCTGAGAGTAGCTTTGCTCCCTGCTACTTCAGCCTTCTACCCCCATGTTAAAAAAAATAAGGTAGAGAGAATTCTTTATATGAACAGTAAATGTCCTGGTTCATAGATCATGACCTCATTTACCTTGATGAGGGAGGCTGTGCTGGCTTCCAGAATCTTTATTCTTCATCAGATCTGTCTCTGCTTTAATTTTAACAAAGACAACTTTATTTACTTGCAGCTCATGGAGGTTTGTGTCTGTCCTCCTTGGCCTAAACCTCAGTCTGCTGCTCTCTGCAGGTGTCTCTTTCCCCAGGCTGGCTGTACTGCCTTTATCCCCCTGCCTTGGCTGAGCCCTCGCTCCAGTGATGGTTGCTCCCGGACCACAGAGATTTGAGACTGAGATTTGCCCTCCGCAGGCAGGGCCCAGGCTCATGTGGCCGGGACTCAACATTAGACAGGAGGGTATCATGCTCTCGGCATCCACTCCTGACTGAACATCTTCTGCAGGAGGGTGGGACAGCGGTTGTAGAGTTCACGGAGGACCTCAGCCCTGGAAACACACGACTTCGAGCAGTCTCCTGTGGGGACACCTGTCACCCCTCAGGAGGGGAGGTGTTCCAGGGCCTGCCATGGCCCATTGCGGTGGACTTCCTGGCGTGGTGCTACCAGAGCATCCTCTCAGACCATTCATGTTCTTGCTCTTTCTCTAAGTGATCAGGAGCAGTAGGCCAGCTTGAGCTGTCCAGAGACATCCACCTTCAGTCTGTGCTGTGGTTAGCATGGATGGAGGTTATCTCTGGAGACATCCTGTATGCTCTAGACATGTAATGAATGAAAGAAGAGATGAGGTTCCCGTGTCCCAGGATCCTTCCAATCCAGTCCAAAGATGTTCTGTGACAAGGTGCAGTGAGGCAGTGCCGTAACTTGGGTTTTTAATACTGATAGACTTGTGTAGTAGAGTCAGAGAAAGCCTGGGAAATCCACCACAAATCACAAAGAGGAGTCTAGGGGAAGAACGCTCTTGCATCTTCAGTGTCAGCTGAGGGGATGGAGATGTGTGGTTTAGCACTTTCCAGAGTCATATGAGTATTTCTGTTGGATGTTGGTCTTCCTGGTGTGGGAAGAGCATGTGGTCTGTAGTTTACAGGCAGGATCGCATAAAGCACAGAAGCAGGAAATGTCATATTGAACATATGCCAGACAATATATGAGTAGAGTGGGGGCAGGCATACTTTGGTACCTGAAGGCTTCAACACAGCCAAAGCGTGCCTGGAACCTGTGTAAACACTGAGATTTCGGGTCAGTGTTAAAGTCTGCCACTACAGCTTTATTACTGTTAGTCCCCATGCCAGATAGGCCCAGGTTTGTAAGGCTGTGTTTGCTGTTGCTGTGTTCACACCTTCATTTGCTGGCTGGGTAAATGTGTGGAAAAAGGATTTATTTGAGATGTGGAGTTCACATGTTTGAATCTTCCATTACCTGCTGGAAATGCCCTTGTACTTTGTCCAGCAAACAGCTGCAGAAGAGACTTGAGTGAACCCAGAGGAGAAGTGATAAGGTGTACAGAAATAGTAAAACTAGGAAGCAATTCAATACAACTCTTTCCAGATGGTGTTATGAATGTCGGAGTGAAAGACAGTTTTGCTTTGCCTTCTTCAAGCCTAACATGAGTGAAAATATGCTTAGGGCTTGAGCCTACAGCCTGGATATACTCTATCAGACACTGGGTATACCAGCAGTCTGCAAATATTCGGGGTGGGGACATAAGAGGAGAGCACTATAATTAAAGAGGTAATTACAGGTGCAATGGCGCTACGGGAGGAAAATATATTTGTAAAGTCATCTTGAGCCACCTGCTGCATTTATAGAACAAAGTTCAGTTAATATGAAAGCTCTTACTTTCTGGGGGTGGTTTGTTCTGAGCAGAAGGGGAAGGTGGACACTTCTCTGACGCTCTTCTCTTGTGATGAATCAGAGAGGAATTTCTCTAGCAGAAATGAGGAGCTATTATTTTTTCTCCGAATGGTGTTCCTGGTTGGATTATGCGGCGCAGGGTAAGTTGGGTTAACTTTATAATATCGCCTAGATCTTCTAAATGTCAACAGGCTGTGCAGCCTGCCAAGTCAGGGGAGTGTAAGGTGTGTGACTGGGATCTGTGTTCTTGGAAGCATCTTGAACTACGTGTTTTGTATGTGCCAGAAAAGCATGTGCATTTCAAGAGTTACCAGTATAAATTTTGCTAGATCATTAATTCCTGAAAATGAATTTTGTTCACATTGTTGGAAAAGTTTTTTAGTGCTTAAATTTTAAATCCCCTTTTCCAAAGCAAGTACAATTTAATTTATGATCTCAATTTTCATGTAAACTTCTTGTAGAACTCTGTCCTCTCAAATAGCACCCCCCAAAACTTGTTACCATTTAATTTCTGTGGAATTCTTGAATGAAATGATTTATTGGGCTCAGCCACATTACCCAGTTAAAAGTCAGCAAAAAGCAAAAAACATTGTCACAGCTGACATCCTTCCAAAATCAGAAAAGTTCCCAAGCAATATGTCCATCAAAAGAGATCTGCTTCTTCCCTCAGAAATCATTTCAGAGCATCATCACAAACTTTTGTAGGGCAGTTTATGCTGCTGGAATCAGCTCAATGTATGTTTTCAGATAAAGAGATCGTTGTAGTTTCAGACATACCAATTCAGCAACATTGGTAAAATGTTTATCTTCCTCCGCTCAGGTGTCTGTATTGACTTGTCCCATAAAACTGAGGGACCCCAGCCTCATTTTTTATCTTTTTTCTTGCATTTTTGAATTTCAGGTTTTTCTTAATTTAAAGTCTTTATAAGGAAATGCATGGTTCGAGGGGTGGAATTTACAATCACAGTAAGATGCATGCTGTAATAGCAAGTACAAATATTTAGATTGGATGATATTATCAGCCAATTTCTGAGAATAATCCCACGTAAGATCTCTGAACCTTATTGTTTCCTGTTCCTTGTGTGAAAAAGCTATTTGAATTCTTTTTTAAATAACAAAAAAAAAAAAAAAGTATAATATTATAAATTATGATGTTATAAAAGTTAATACTTTAAAATTCTTGGTGCCTTACTCAATTTGTAGGCTAAAATATAGTACTTTTCTAATTGTGTACATAATGATGAAGGAATATGTAGGCTCTGGGACACTGATGTAGAGGCTACCACATTGCTCCTGGTGATGAATCCACCAAGAAAAAATGATGCAAAATAGTCATTGTGTTAGTAGGTCATATGCTATTTATACATGGCAATTTTTGTCCTATAAATTAATGAAATACTCTAAGAAAGTGTCTTGTAAACTTGTAGAAAAGATAAAAAAAAGTTGTCATTTCTTTGGACAGCTTTCCTTCGGGCCTAAGGAATATAAATTCTGTGGTAGCTGCATCAGCTCTCCCTTTTTAACTTTCCAATTTTTCTTTTAATTTTAGTATTGCATTTAGGGATGTAATCTGAGAAGCAAAAATTGTGAAAGACACACATGCACAAACACGTATGCACATGCCATTAGGGGCAATACAAGAACTTGCTGATAGACTGCTCTTCCGGTTGATCCACTGACTCTGAACTCCTCAAGATTGTACCCTTGCCCCTTGGATCTCCTAAACCTCTGCCTATGGTTTTCTCCTTGTCCCTGTTTCCTAGGATTTAAGCTCTTGTAAGAGTCTCTTACAAGAAGACCTTTTCTAAGAGCTGTTGTGTGATATTCAGGGAGTCAATTCATGTAAAATGAATCCTCAGAAAACAAAATCTGACTGTGCATGCAACTCTTGAAATGGGGAAAAATGTATTGCTGAACATAAGTGCTGTTTTAAACGCCCATTTAATTAGAGGCACTAGCATATATGGTATTTTATATATGGGTTGAGTTAGGAGAAAGTTACACTTTCACCACTTTCATGGCTGCTGAAGAGCTTATATCTTTATGAGGAAAGGAGATTTGCAAAAATAATGCAATAGTGGAAAAAAAATTACTTACTGTTTCCCTGATGAATATGCAGAGACACTTCAATAATTTGGAACAAAAGCGACTTCCTATTTTTACAGCATGCTTTTGCTTTTCTGGATGGAGAATTGTGAACAATAAGATGTTTACTCTCTGGGCAGAACCAGTCCTGGAGCCAGGATGTAATTTTATTTATTCCCTTTATCTTCTTCATTGTTCTTTCAAGACATTTGCAATCTCATGTGTTGTTGCAAACTGTTTAGCTAGACTAAAGTCATGCTTAATAAGATGGTCTGTACTACTTCCTTTTACTGTGTATACTTCTAGTGCTTAGCAAAATCCCACATGATCATCAAATTAACCTCAAAGGTGAATCTAACCTGGAAAGTCTAAACATACGTGGTCTCATGGTAAACCGAGCTAAGTTAAAAGGATCAAGGTTTACTGTAAGATTTCCAGCACTTCCTGATTTGAAGTAATCCTTTTTTTTTTTTCGATTTCAGAAACACTACGTCTTCTCCCAAAGCAGGAAGTGAAGATCAACACAACTTTTGTGTTTCGTTTCTTGTTCAGTGATCTTTGAAAAAAATCCCACTGATTCTATTTTAGTCAGCGGTTAATGTGACCTCACATACGACTTCTGTTTCTTGCACTTTGACTTGAGTTTGGCATGAAACCTTCCCGAATCTTGTTGGTTGGTGTTTTTTTCTAAAATTAATGGACAAAGCCTACTGATAATGTTAGTTTTCCCGTTTACTTACTCTTCTTCAGTATCTGTCAGCAGTCTTTGGTTGAGAATGAGAGTCGCGCACCATTTCACTGAGTGACAGGGCTGTTGGATTGGTTAATTCTTTCCTTTTGGAGAGAGGCTGAAGAATGAATGGGAGCATCAAAGAATGAAGGAAGCTACAGGAATCTTCTGTAGGAACTTCTTCTTACCTCTTTTTATCCCCAGGTGGAAAAATCTCACATTTTTCCACTTGCAATGTTGTCAGCATGCAGTAATCTCAGTCCAATTTTGTTATTTTCATCAGACTTGCATTTGTTTCTGATTTCAAAGTTTCTAATCAATTTTAGAAATTATGAAGTAGAGGACACAAAAACATTAATTCTTTAAAGCAGGAGTAGCTTGACGTTGTTTTAAGTAAGAAGTTTTGTCCAATTAACAACCACTTAGGACTTGTGGGGCAGCTAGAAATAAGTTATATTAATGAATGATCCTATAATGTCAGGTGTGAGTAGGTAGCTGGGAATATACTTCAAAAATTGTAATAGGTACAATTCCGGTGATAATTTATCTTAGAGCTGTCATGGACTACAACAGCCCTTGTGGTTTGTGAATCACGCTACAGTAATCTAACTTGTACGGGGCTCTATTCTGAAAATTAGAATTTCAGATGGATGGTATTAACATAGTTTCTTAGTTGTATTAGTCATGAGTAATTCTCTAAATGAATTTATCTTTTATTTGATTTCTCTGAGAAATCACTCTAGAAGCCTACACAATATGTGACACACAATTCATATGAGTATACATCAGAGGCTACTTGAAGAACTTGTTCAAATGTGTCCCTTGGCTTTTGAGGAAGGACTTAATTGCTTTTCAGGCTTTTATTTGAAGGAAAGATACGATCTATATTTCCATCCTTTTCTTCTTTTAGGTGAAAGTCATAAGCTTTCATGAAACATAAGCAAATTGTTTTAAGCAGTGAGTTTGCGTAGGAGAATTACTCGTTAAATTCTCAGCTTTCATGACCATTGTTTCTATTTTAGCCAAACATGCTTATTTTAGGCAATTATCTAATTCATATCATCTTTGATGGAGTCAAAAGGTTTGTATGATAAAACAGGGAGCAATCAGAAAGCCAATTGTCTTGTGCTTAAAGAGAGCTAGCATGTGAAACAAGATTTCAAGACATTGCGTCTATCCTACTACAGAGGTGTTTTGCCTTTCTAATACTACCAGACATACAATTCTGGTGCAAGGTTTTCACACCAGAAATTCAAAACACATCCTTCCTGGGAGCTGAAAACTGCACAGTTCTTCTTCAACTCACTGTCAAACTCTCTAGCTTTTGTCATCCTAACCTCTAGGATTCCAGTAGTGTGTGTTCATACATTTTAACTGGATTGTGCATGTGATGCACAGGTAATGTTTTGAAATCTGTCTCCATAATATCTACCCCTATGGCTGTCAAAGATTGATTAAGGACTTCAGGTACAAGCAAAGGTGTTCTCTACCGTCTTCTTCAGCATAAACTTTTCCTCTTTTAATTGGTAGCATTTGACCTTGGTTCCTTCTCTTTTTTTTTTTTCCTCCCAACTTCCAGCTATTGAAAATTATGTTCTTTGTCTGCACCGTGAGTTGTATTGATAATTTTTGCAGATGTTGTCACGTGAATTTGTTAGAGTTATTTTAGGAATACTTTACCTGAAAAAAAAAAAAGTGATTTAAAAAAAAAAAAGTCATCTATGAGTGTTTTTCTATGTGATTAGAACAGATTTTCAAAGATGAGAAGCAAAATTCTCAGATGTCAGTGAAGTCAAAACATTTTTATCATAGGATCATAGAACAGCATGGGTTGGAAGCTAGTTCCAACCCCCCTGCCACAGACAGGGGTGCCACCCACTAAATGCTATACTTTGCTTCCAAAAATCGAACAGGATTTGTTACTTGAATCAGATAAGATGTGACAGTCTCCAGATGCGTGTGCTGAATAATGAGAAGGAGTACTAATTTAATATTTCATGAAAAGTTATCTGGTTGGACCAAACGAAGTATAACAGTTGCTTGTGATGAAGACGTGCAATGTTTCGCAGACGAAGCAATCTGTAGACACAACAAAGCACCCTATGGCAGGAAAAAAAAAAAAAAAAAAAAAGATAGAATATAGATTTAATCATCTTACAGCTCAACATGGCAAAACGTATTAGAAATACGTTTGGACTCAGGTATCAGCTTTCTCCCTGACAGTGCCTCAGCCACCACGTGGCAGTGGATCCCGTTTACAACCTAACCATCTGCAGTTTGTCCAGGATTTTGAGGATAAAGCTCTTACAGTTGCAAGAGTGCAACTCCATCCAGTATTTTCCATCCTGGCACGCTTCTGTTATGAGGTAATTTTAAAAACAGAAAAGGCATTCCCAAACCCATCTTATCAGATGGGTTTTCAGCCATTCACCCAGTTAGAGGTCACCTCAGTTTAGCCTTCTTCGGTGTTACGGAGTAACCTGGCCTATTTTGGGGGAGCAGGGAGTTGTAAACAGAGTAATAACAACTGTTTTCCACATTAGATTGCTTCCTTCTCTCGATTACAAAAGCCTATTATTATTATTGTTTACATTTAAACAATGAGAATGCTCTGTCCCCTCTCTCCCTGTCCCAAGGCACGCAAAGCCAGACCCCTCACCGTCCACACAAGCTTTGTGAACTCACAGGTCGTCGTTGCATTGCTGCCCAAAGGTCTCCTCTCTAAACAATGGACTTGTTCGTTCTTGGATAGCTTCAGTTTTGTAAAAACAATTTCCTTTGCACGGCTCCATTTTAGAAAGGAAAAAACACAGATTGCAGCCAGTACCTGCAAACAGCATCAGTACTTCAAAGACAGCAGGCGTCTTTTAGAGCACAGTACCCATAGCTAAGCGAGTGAGATGAGACAAAATGGTCTAAAACAATAATACAAGAACAGAGGAAACGTGACAAAGTAGGCTTTGGGTTACAGTTTGCCAAATCAGGGAGCATGCCAGGAGTATCTCAACCAGCTCCTCATCTCTGCTGGTCCATGGGAGGCAATAAGTTCAGGGCAGATGCTCCATGTGAAAGCTATCTCAGGTGAGACTTGAGTCCATTTCTCAGTGTTTCATGACTCAAGAGAAACCTCAGTTGCTGGTTTATACCATTGTGCTTGAGCTGAAGAGCTGTTTCCAAAAGAAGCATTTACACAAGCACCTTGCCAGCCAACTGCTTGTGGCTGCACCTGTGAACCTTTAAATGCCTCTGAACCTGGCCCAGCTGGGCTGGCTGAAGCTGAGTACTAGTCAGCTGCCAGGAGGTGCCAGACAGACCGACATATGCTGCTTTTTTGGGCAAGCTGATGATAGAGCTGCAAGTCTTTTCCTTCCACTCAGGTACAGTAAGAGCTCCTGCCTTCTTGCCTGAAGAAGAAAACATGAAACAAGCTCAACTAGGTCATGGCTTGTTGTTGGTGGTTGAGACTATTACACTTACATGTTTTTATTTATTTGTAGCTGAGCTGCTGTTTCCTTCATTAGCTAGTAAACTAGGGAGATTAAAAGGAAGATACCTTTCTTTTTTTTTTCTGCTCTAAGGAATTACATGCAAATAACAAAGGGACTTGAGTACATCTTATATATAAGCTGTATCAAACTTCTTCATAGTATAGGAGAAGAAATTCCAGTGAAGGCTAATCCCTGAGAGCTGCTGGAAAATATTTCCACAATCTCAGGAGGCAAAAAAATGGAATATTTGTGGCACCCTTGCCCCTTACTTTCCCCAAGTGCTACTTAAGAAGTCTGTACAACTTTTTTCTTAAACAGAAATCCCATTTCTTGCCCTGAAATTTACCTCAGAAATAAGGAAGGCAGCAAATAAACCCTAGCTGGGGTGTGAGGATACTGTTAATATTTTTAATGTTATTTTGATGTTCTCTTCATGTCTGAGCAATACTTTTGGCTCTTTGCTGATCCTTGGGGTTGTCTGGGTATCTGCATTTGTTATACTCAATATAGTGTGTGTGGTGACCTAAAAAAGTGTAAAAATGTGTTCAGCATTGGCTAAACCACTGTAACTTGGGGACCAAGGCAGTAGTGGTCGCAGGCTGTTCTGTGTTTGAGTCGGAGAAAAGGAGGCTTTTGGCCATCCTTCAGCCAAGGATGTGAAATCTGTCCTGTTAAAAAGGATGCTGCTGATACTTCAAAGACTGGCTGCAGGATGAGACCTTAATTGAAGGAGCCTTATTTGCTTCCACCGTACTGCAGGGAACTACAAAGATGATAGAGCTGTGAGTCTTTTCCTTCCACTCAGGTACGGTAAGAGCTTCTGCCTTCTTGCCTGAAGAAGAAAGCATGACACCTTACCTTTGATCTGCTTGCCCTGCACTCTTCTTTTAGTGCAAATACTAGGGTAAAAGCCAAGTTAAAATTATGTCATACTGATTGAGTATGCACATGGTAAGTAGCAGGTGATCTGCCCGTGCTGTTGTCAGTTCAGTTGGATGGAGAGCGCCTTGTGACACTGGAGAAATTGAATTTTGGCTTCTGTGCGTGAGGGGTGGTGTGGTGTTTCTTACAGGATATACAGAAACTTAAAGATAAAAAGAGGGAGCAAGATATATGACCCACCAGCTGTACCCCTTTTTAAAGTTGTCGCTTTGCACCTCAGCTATTTTGACCTCAAGAGGTAGTAAGTATTCTTCCCCACTATTTTACTGAGAGTCTTAAGCACCTGACTCTCCTCATCTCAGCAGTGAGATGGAAGAAAGACAGGAGGAGCTGCTGGCAAACGCATGCAATTTTTGCAGAGGCAACAAGGGGAAGAGCAGAGAATGGCTGGGGGCAGTCTGTAGGTTGTTCCCTACTCATCTGAGTGTTGAGGATGTGAGATCAGGTGCTGTGTGTGTCATCACAAGTGGAATTTGCTCCTTAGTCTTCATTTCATCCTTCTTTCTGTGTCCATTCTTCATTAGGAAAAGGCTGTGAAGCACCAAACTGTTTCAAAAGTTTTTTGGAGTTGAGATTTTACACCAGAACTGGGCAGGATTTGATTTCTGTTAATTGCAAAATCCTAATCAGTGGAGGTTAGGAGGTGATGTGGTAGGGTTGCCAGGTTTTTATAGGTCTTTCCTCCTTGTTAACTAAAGCTTTGCATAATTGCCTTTCTTTCATGGCTGGTGCATCTACTTTAGTTACTGCTTGTCTCAAAACAGCGCGAAGGTTTTTGAGGCGAAGTCGGAGGCTAACACTAATAAAGCACCCGTGGCAGAGGAGTGGTTTTGTTGTTTGAATCCACAGCCATGCCTGTGCTGTCACACCTAGGCCAAAAGTAAATACAGTGATAGTGCAGCTAGCAGTACTTAATGAGGAAAACGAAGGCAATGCTGCTGTTAAAAAGCTCGGGCTCCATGCTGCTATTCTGAGCAGCCCAGGAAGCATCCTAGGAAACTGCAGAAGAAGGAAAATGTCTGTTGCTTTGGGTTGATTAAAATCTCAGGGACTGGCTGCTTTTTCAATCAGGTAAGGGTATATGTTTCCTGTTTGCTTCCCAAAGAATAGAAACAGGACACAGTTACAGCTGCTGTGTGTCTTTGCAGTTGTTGGTGTATTTTATAACAGTTTTTTGGAGGTCTAGATTATTATTTTTTTTTTTTTTAGTTGGTGGCTTTTTAAAGTGTTTTATTAAAGGGATCACTGTATTTTGTATGATACAATTATTTTTTTTTTCTTATAAATATTGCATCTACAATGGGAGAAATTAAGATGTAATTTTGGGAACCCTTAAGTGGAGGGATTGGTGTATTTTGAAGATTGCTTTTTTTCACACGTTTTGTATGATTGGGGACTTGTTGAGTTGCATGGCCACATGGTCCTTGTTGTGCATGCCTTGACCACAAGAAGTCCAAATTGTGAGCCAAAATCAAAACTGGCTTGAAAAATAAAGTGCTAGGAGGACAATTGTATATTTATCTGATCTGTTATGTGGGTTTTCACCATTCTGAAGTGTAACCTCAGAATAATGTGGGTTAGACTAGTGAAGCATCAACAAGAGTTGAGGGCAATGGCCTAATCGGAAGGATTTTGTCTAAACTCACCAATCTGAAATGATAGGTAACTGAGGTCACCTAGCAGCCATTTCTTTTTATTTTTTGTATTTCATTGGGTGCTACAAGTGATCCTAAAATACTGAAGTATCATAAGTTGTTCAGAAGCACGCCAACTGATTGTTTCTAGAGACGTGATGGAACAAGTATTTTCTGTCTCTGATCTTGGACCAAAAGCAAGTTTCACTTCTGTCTGTCCTGTTTGCTCTTTCAGGATTTTGGGGAATGATGATTTCTGCAAAAGTTGTTTTCCTTTCCTTCCTTTGTGATAAATAGTTTTGCAGCCTTTATCTGTGTTCATCAGTGTTGCGGAGCATTTTATATTTTTGTTGGAACGCGTTCTCCCGCAGCGTTTGACCTGAAGGTTTTTCTGCTTCCTGAGTGTCTTGTTAATCTGGAAAAAAATAATTGTGTACTTTAAGGGGTCACAAAAAGGGTTTCCTATCATTGATGAATTTTTATTTTATACTTTGGCTATAAATATAGGTATGACTGTGGTACAATGCTTCATTAGTTGTAGTGGTCTCTGTTGGTTTGCTTTGCTTTCTGGAGTAATGTTGTTATTTGTATGTACATACACATTTACATTTCAGAATACAAAGTAGACCTGCTTTTCCTTTCCCGAGTTCTTTTCCTGGGGTGTTTTCATCACATGTTCCTGTTGTCATTCGTTACTGTTGAGTTTTCCTTTCTGCTACCATGAAACCCTACATCCGTTTCCTCTTCTCTCTTCCACTTGCTCCTTTAATCCTACTGCTGCTATAATGGGTCCCATCCTCTGGATTTTTTCAGAATTTTGGTCCTAGCTTCCATCTAATATTAGTGGTGATCTGCATCCACTTTTAATTACAGTTTTCAATTTTTGTCTCTGGTCTACTCAATTTTAAATACTGTGTTTGACAGCATCAGCATGGAGCCAGGTGTCCTCTTTTCTTCATCTCCATGGCATTTGACTGATCATGTCAGATTGCAGACACTTTTGTATGGGTACTGCTGCTGTTTGTGAAGTTAAAGAGGTCAAATCCATTTATTTTGCAGCTGTGGACAGACAGAACTGTCACCAAAGACCACAGGATAACTCCTGCATGGTTCAGCTTTGACCTGAAGAAAAAGTCCATTTCTTGTCTCTTTGAAATGGAAACCACAGTAAATCCTGCAGCACAGTGAAGGGGAGACCTATGATTACAGACTTGCAGGAGCTTGTTTAGAAAGGACACATAGGAAAGTATAAACTGATTAAAATTCAGTTCACAGAACACCAAAAATATTTCATTTTGAAATAAGGAATGAAAACGGATGATAAGAGCATTCAGTGGCCAGGCTTCTGGTGTGTTTTTGTTTGTTTTTTTGTTTGTTTTGGAAATTTTAAAGTGTAGTCATGGGGTTGGAGAACTGGAGGTGTGTTGTGCTTCCTTAGAAATTGCAGTAGTCTTTTTGTCTTACTTTCTGGATACCTGATGTAAGGTATGTGATCTTCAAAGCTTTGAAGTTTATTATTGTCTTATAGTGCAAAGACTACTCTTGAAATGTAGTTTCTCAGTGGTTTTTCTCATCTCTTACTAGATGTGTCTTTCAAAATGATATTGCAGGATTCATCCTATTAATTGAACAGTATCCTCCACCTTTTAAGTGTTCCAGCAACTATTGGTATTACCAGCATACTCATTTTCATAGGAAGAGTATCTTTCTTCATGGATGGTGGTTTTTTATTGCTTTTCTCTCACCACAAATTTTGATTGCTCATGCTTGCTAAAACTCAGATGTTCGTGTGATAAAGAGACCTTTCTGATGACTTAGCATCCAAATCGAAAACTGTTAAAGCTGTTTCAAAATTGGTTAGTTCTGTTGTTACATAGAAATTTAGGAAGCTGCTAGTATTGGGTTAGTAAAGAAATATTTCTATAATGGATTTTTACCAGTATATGTGTGTATATAAACTCATTTTTAATGAAAATTGAATCTTTTGATGCAAACAAGAGAGAATTGGCAATTTCGAATGCTTGATGACTTTAAAAAGAATGAAACCTTTTTAGCATTTGTTCTTTGAAAAACCCTCGTGAAGTATTAAAAGGAGAAAATGACTAGGGCTTTTAAATAGTCTAGTATGCTAACGTAGGTGCTCACTGGTGATGC